GCTGAGCCTGGGGGTGCTGGGCCTGGGAGTGCTACTGCGGAGGGTGCTGAGCCTGGGGGTGCTGAGCCGGGGGGTACGGTGCCTGGAGCTGCTGAGCTAGGGGGTGCTGGGTCTGGGGGTGCTGGGTCGGGAGCTGCTGAGCCTGGGGGTACTGAGTCTGGAGCTGCTGAGCCTGGGGGTGCTACGTCTGGAGCTGTTGAGCCTGGGGTTTCTCCTGCTGCTGCGTCTCGCCGAGAGCCCCTCTCTCCACAGGAGCTGTGCGAGTGGTTTGCTCGCCGCTGGAGGCGTGCTGCTGGAGCTGGAGCTTCTTCGACCGTCGAGGGTGCTGGTGCTGCCGGTCCCAGAGCTGCGGGGTCTGCGGGTACTCCTGGAGCAGGAGCTCCTGAGGGTGTTGGTGCTGAGACTACTGGTGTCTGTCCCGGCGGTGGTTCTGCTACTGGTGCTGCTGGAGGTCCTGCCGCTGGAGGTGTTGGTGGCGCTGGTGCTGTTGCTGAGGGTGCTGGTGCTGTCCCTGCTGAGTCTGGAGTTGCCGCGCGGCCTCGGCCGTACTTCGTTCCGCTCCTGCAGCAGGTTCTTGGTCTTTCTCCTCCGGTAGAGTGTCCACAGCCTGTCCAGTCGCAGTCCCTGTTGGAGCCTTCCTCTCCACTGCCTGCTCCCTCTCCTTACACTGGTCCTACTGGAGGTCTTGCTGAGCGTCGTGAGCCTGCGTCTCGTCCTGCGTCGCCTGTTCGTGCTGCTCGCACTAGTGGTCGCGGTTCACGTCAGCGTCCTCCTCCTGTCCCTGGCACGCACCGGATGTCTCTGCGTCCGTCCACTGCTCCTCTGCGTGCCCCTTTGCCTTCTCCTCCCGAGTCCTCTCTTCCTGCGCTTGCCGACCCTGAGTCGGACTCTCTTCGTGCTGCCAGTCCTACTGTCACGCGTCTCCTTGCTACTGTCGTCACTGACCCCTCGTTTGAGTCCACTGCTGCGTCTGCCCTTGTCGCTGAGCTCGTCGACTTTGCTGCTCGCTGTCGTCTAGACTACGCTGCTAGTCTTGTTGCTGAGTCAGCGTCTGACTGTCCTCTGTTCGTCGGGGGTGACTGTGCTCTTGGCACGGACGTCCTAGAGGACAGGCAGGAGGAGTTACAGTGTCTGGCGGCTGCTTCACCTCATCTCGCGTCTGTACTGCTTGCTCCTGAGGGAGACCCGGATGCACTAGACATCCCGACTCCGCGCTCTTACGCGGAGGCCGTAGAGGGTCCCTACTCGTCTCAGTGGCAGGCAGCTATGGATGCAGAGATGGCTTCCTTGAAGTCCACAGGCACCTACGTTGACGCAGTTCCCCCTCCTGGGGCGAACATCGTCAGTGGCATGTGGATCTTCAGGGTGAAGCGGCCGCCGGGCTCTCCGCCTGTCTTCAAGGCGCGGTACGTTGCTCGTGGCTTCAGTCAGCGGCAGGGAGTCGACTACTTTTAGACCTTCTCTCCCACCCCAAAGATGACCACTCTTCGGGTGCTGCTGCACATAGCCGCTCAGCGCGACTACGAGCTTCACTCTCTCGACTTCAGCACTGCGTTCCTGCATGGTAGCCTGCACGAGGAGATCAGGCTGCGCCGTCCACCTGGCTTCACTGGGACTTTCCCTCCTGGCACCCAGTGGAGCCTCCGTCGGCCAGTCTACGGTCTCTGCCAGGCACCGCGTGAGTGGCACGACACACTGAGGACTACGCTTGCGGCTCTTGGGTTTGCTCCTTCTACTGCTGACCCGTCGTTGTTTCTGCGCACCGACACTTCTCTGCCGCCGTTCTACATCCTCGTGTACGTCGACGACTTGGTCTTTGCCACAGCGGACACTGCTGGACTCGCCCACGTGAAGTCCGAGCTGCTGAAGAGACACACGTGCACAGACCTGGGTGAACTGCGCAGCTACCTTGGCTTGCAGATCACTCGGGACAGAGCACGCCGCACCATTACCTTGACTCAGTCACACATGGTGCAGCAGGTCCTTTAGCGCTTCGGCTTCACGTACTCCTCGCCTCAGGCCACTCCTCTGTCTACTCGCCACTCGCTCTCAGCTCTGCCTTCGGATGAGTCCGTAGAGTCGAGTGGCCCGTACCCAGAGCTTGTTGGCTGCCTCATGTACCTGATGACCTGCACACGACCTGACCTTGCATACCCTCTGAGCATTCTTGCACGCTATGTTGCTCCTGGGAGACACCGACCAGAGCACATGGCTGCAGCGAAGAGGGTGTTGCGCTACCTGTGCAGTACGTCGGGCATGGGGCTAGTGCTTGGAGGGCGGAGTCCAGTGGTCCTTACAGGGCACGCGGACGCTTCTTGGGCTGACGACCAGGCTACGCAGGAGTCGTCACAGGGTTACACCTTCAGCCTTGGTTCCGGCTCTGTCTCGTGGCGGGCTACTCGCTCGTCTTCGGTTCTCAGCTCCAGTTGTGAGGCTGAGATCTACGCTGCGGCCATGGCTGCACAGGAGCTTCGCTGGCTCACCTACCTGCTAACTGACCTTGGAGAGCCGCCTCGTTCTCCTCCAGTGTTGTACGTAGACAACAAGGCCATGCTGGCCTTGTGTCGAGAGCAGCGTCTGGAGCACAGAACGAAGCACATTGCTCTTCGCTACTTCCTTGCTCGTGAGCTGCAGCAGCGTGGACAGTTGCGGCTTGCGTACGTGGCCTCTGAGGCCAACACTGCTGATGTGTTCACCAAGGCACTCGCGCCTTGTGACCATCAGCGCCTCTGCACCCAGCTGGGTCTTGTGCCTGTCTTGCCTTACTTGCTCTCCTCTTGACTGTACTTGTACTGTGACATATATATACCTGCTCTTGCTTGTCTAGTTTTATATATATATATGTCTGTACTCCTGCATGTGAACTGGCCTCTGGCCCTGCTCTTGTGCTCGGACTGTGTGGTGACGTTGTGATCCACCCTGAGCTTGCTCTGCTTTGCTTTACTTGACTGGTCTTGTGACCCCTTGTTCTCCCCCACTTTGCCTATGGGGGTGTGTCAGATTTATATGACATAGTTGCTGTAGGCTATAGTGGGGTAGCACATATGGGGTACAGGGTTTCTAGGGTTGTATTTGTACCCAATCTTTCCTTAGTCATTTCATTCCTGTTCACTTGTTTCACAGGCGGGGCCGTCGAAGCAGGGCGGCGGGGCCGTCGAAGCTGGGCGGCGGGGCCGTCGAAGCAGGGCGGCGGGGCCGTCGAAGCAGGGCGGCGGGGCCGCTTAGCAGAGGGCGGCGGGGCCGCAAAGGAAGGGCGGCGGGGCCACGAAGTGCAGGGCGGCGGGGCCGCAAAGCGTAGGGCGGCAGGGCCGCGAAGTGCAAGGCGGCGGGGCCGCAAAGGAAGGGCGGCGGGGCCGCGAAGTGCAGGGCGGCAGGGCCGCGAAGCGTAGGGCGGCAGGGCCGCTAGGGGAGAGAAGGCCGCTAGGGCGGCTCGGTAAGTGAATAGCCCGAAGCGCGACTCGGGATGAGTGCGCTTCGGGCAGTAAAAAAAAAAGTCGAAGTGGTGGGCCCTAGTCGCAGTTCCCACAGGGGAACCTGCTCGATACCATGAGAAGATTTGAACGAGAATGGAATGACTATGAACGAAGTGAGTACAAATAGGAAACCCTAATTGGGTTTAACCCCCTATGGGATACCCCACTATAGCCTACACAAATAAGTAAGCTATAATGTTCTGACAGAATGTACTTGTGCTGGTATGTGAGAACAAGTAATTGATTAAAGCAAAGAGCATACAGGAATATATAGGAAAGATAGATTACAGGAAGCGGTTATGTTTATCGAGACGCGTAACGCTTCGACTATCGAGGCGGTTACTATTCACTGAAGCGTCGCTTGCTGTTACGTAACCTCCAGGCGGTTACAGCTCGCAACCTTCGGTTGCGGTTTTGATGTGGTACGCGCCTTTTCGACTTCATACCCCTTTTGTTGTGCTTCAGTATCGGGTGAGGTTCGATACTACAGAAACGCACTAAGTCATGCGTTTATATTCCCAACATACTCTGAGGAGTACATTCCCTTATTAACTGTATTACATGCCTACAGTAACCACGACTATTGTTATTCTCGACACTTACCATGTTACAGCGATCAAATGTCGTGCGGTTACTGGTCGGTCGAGAGTCACGACCGTTGACTGTCTTCGACTGTTGACCTTCGGGTGACTCTCGACCTTCCGCGTGCTCTATGTGAGCTATTGCAGTACTGGTGCAGTGCGTTGTTCTATTAAGAACTGACGCATTATGGAGAAGCCTTCGGAAATGCTTATAATAACCTTTCGGTTATTCCAACAGTTGTCGCCGTTGTTGCCGATCTCGCCGTTGTTGCCGATCTCGCCGTTGTTGCCGATGTCGCCGTTGTCGTCATTGTCTCTAGTGTCACCGCTATTGCCGTTGTCGTCGGTGTCGCCGTTGTAAATGAATGCATTAGAAACATTCATGCATCCACATTTGTTATTGATGGTATCAAATTTAATATGGAGAACCTTGATTCGCTGGGAAGCATGCAACGTATGATTTTGTTACCCTTTCTGACATGTTTCAGTTAATTTCACGTAGAAAAAATGCGTATGCTACACTCCTGGATGTGCACAAAATGTGTCAAACACTCTGTCGAACGGTGTCAGAAGCCAGTAACGAGTTACAGCATTTCCCGCGCTGTCACGACGCGTCACTTCTTTCGTTTTTGCACAGTCGACCCTGCGGAGGATCGAATGTCAACGTGGTAATAAACCTTTTCCCAACTTTTTAATGCGTTAGTGCGGCAACAATCGGTGTAGCTCGGTCGATCTTGCAAAATCGAAAGAAGGGACGCGCCCTAAGACTTCTCTCACTCCCACGACTCAATCAATCACAAGCCAAGCGTCGATGCGCACGAGTCTCACAAACGAACTCCTGACCGTAGACCGAATCACGTCGCTCCAGTTAGCTCCACGAAATCGTCGCGTACGCTGGAAAATCAGCTCTCTCATACCTCTTCTAACGCGCCAATCAGCAGCCGCCATGTCAGGGTGGGACGAGGGACAGGTGTTCTACAGCAACCAGTCGTTCCCCGAGTCGGAAGGGCCGGCCGGCGACGACGCGCTGGGCGACGCGGGAATCACGCGATACGCCGCGCAGAAGAAGCTTCGCGAGTTCGTGCGAAACTTCCACGATCCGCAGTATCATGACCGCTTTATCTACAGGTGCGCCGCGTGCGGTAACCCGCTGCCGTTACCAGCACAGCACAGCAGGCCACCTCGCACCGTGCGGTCCCCGCCCCCGCTCAACGTGGGCCCCTCCCTTCCCTGCGACCAGCTGGGCTTTAAAATCCCTCACAAACCGACGGATCCGCGCCGTGAGGTTCCCGTCGTCCCCTGCGCGCCGTGCCCTCCCTACATGCGGTCCGCGCCCTTCCTTACTCGCAAATTCCCTCCTCTTATCCCGCCTGTTCCTGCCTCTCATGACCGGGGATCACATGGCCGCCGGGGCTCACATGGCCGCCGGGGCTCACATGGCCGCCGGGGCTGCACAGCGTCATACGCCGCCGTGTCCCGTTCCCCTCCTCCCACGGCAACCCCCCTTGCCCCCATTCCGCAGGGAGCGGGTGCAGGAGGGGGTGGCGTGGTGGAGGTTGATCCGGAGCACGTGGCGGTTTGGGGGCGGCCAACAGCACACCGTCTCCCCCCCCTGTCTTTCCCCACTCCCCCATCACCCGCGGTTGCTCCAGGGAGCGGTTGCAGGAGGGGGGCGGCGTGGTGGAGGTGGACTTGGAGGACCTGGCGAGCAAGGAGGAGGGGCTGTGCCGCCTCATGCGCACGCGCCCCGCTGACATGCTGCCGCTGGTGGGTGGGATGGGTCCCCATGGATCCTCATGGAATTTGATTGCCCTGCTCTACTTTCCCTTGCCCGTGTGTCTTTCTCAACGTAGAGCATTAGTTTCTCATGAGCGCTCTGAGTGTCTTTCGTTATGTATTCGTCTTTCTCTCTGCCTGCCTGCTCCGCCTCCTCGCTTCTCCCGCTTCTGTGCTCCCTTCTCTCCCCCCACTCCTCCCTCCCTCTTTCTCACCCGCTTTGTGCTGACGTGGCAGTTGGAGGTGGCAGCAGCTGAGGTGGCAGCGAGCGTGCGGCAGAAGGTGATGGGGGAGAGTGGGGAGCTGGAGGATGCACGAGTGCCGCCCGTGCAGGTGCTGCTCAAGAGCTCCGAGGACGCCATGCCCATCAGGGCTTTAACGGTGCGTGCCATGCCCATCCGGGCTTTAACGGTGTGTGCCATGCCCATCCGGGCTTTAACGGTGTGTGCCATGCCCATCAGGGCTTTAACGGTGTGTGCCATGCCCATCCGGGCTTTAACGGTGTGTGCCATGCCCATCCGGGCTTTAACGGTGTGTGCCATGCCCATCCGGGCTTTAACGGTGTGTGCCATGCCCATCCGGGCTTTAACGGTGCGTGCCATGCCCATCCGGGCTTTAACGGTGTGTGCCATGCCCATCCGGGCTTTAACGGTGTGTGCCATGCCCATCAGGGCTTTAACGGTGTGTGCCATGCCCATCCGGGCTTTAACGGTGTGTGCCATGCCCATCAGGGCTTTAACGGTGTGTGCCATGCCCATCAGGGCTTTAACGGTGTGTGCCATGCCCATCAGGGCTTTAACGGTGTGTGCCATGGCACACATCACACGCATCACGTGCATTACTTCCTCGGCCCTTACTCCCAACCATGCCGCGCCATGACTCCTCTCTGCAGACCTGCCTTCCATGCTCCCATTTCACTTTCTCTCTTTTCTTCTGGTGCGGTAGCAACTGGGTGTGTTGCATCGCTGCCCAAGTGATTTCTGCTTGACCCCTGACAACACTTCTCCCCATAACCCTTTATTCCCCCTCCTTCCCCCATCAGGCAGCATGGCTCGTCTATTGGGTGAAGATATCACGCATTGTGATCGCTCCGTTTCTCTGCCTCCCCCCTTCTCCCTCCACCCCCCACCAGGCGGCATAAACATCTCATCTGGTGAAGATCGCAAGCATCGATTTTCCACCTCTTCCCTTGTTTGCTCTCCCTCTCCCTCTCCCTCCCCTCTCTCCCCACGTCTGGCCACCCGTCACCGCACCGCACCAGGCAACACAGATCGCCCATCTGGTGAAGATCTCGGGCATCGTGATTGCGTCCTCGCGAGCCAAGGCCAAGGCCACCTCGGTGGTGCTCATGTGCCGCTCCTGCAAGAACGTCAAGGCCATCCCCTGCCGCCCGGGCCTGGGTGGCGCCATCATCCCGCGCACCTGCGACCGCACCCCCCAGGTAGCGCACCTGCGACCGCACCCCCCAGGTAGCGCACCTGCGACCGCACCCCCCAGGTAGCGCACCTGCGACCGCACCCCCCAGGTAGCGCACCTGCGACCGCACCCCCCAGGTAGCGCACCTGCGACCGCACCCCCCAGGTAGCGCACCTGCGACCGCACCCCCCAGGTAGCGCACCTGCGACCGCACCCCCCAGGTAGGTTGCATTCTCCATGGGCGAGGTGGGTGTGCCGTGGCAATGAGTTGTGTGGCACGTGACGACCGCACATGTGACTGCACCCACCAGGTAGGTTTCATCTTCATTTTCCATGGGCAAGTGGAGTGTAGAAGACGAATAAGCACACGGTCAAGGATGCGTGTGATGCAAGGTTATCCAGATGGGCGTTTGGAACAAGGAGCAGAGAACCACTTCCGTCCATCCTGGTCCCAAAAGGGTCCAGGCTGGGAGACCCCATGTGTGGAGCTGCTGCTGATTAAAATTACAACTCTCTTCTTTCCCTCCTCTCCTTTCTCCTCTCCTTCTGATGTTTCAGACCTGATTTTCTTTTATTCCAGTCCCCTTCCTTGCTTATCCCCTTCCTTGCTTATCCCCTTCCTTGCTGATCCCCTTCCTCGTTTCCCGTCTCCCGCCTGCCTCCATCCACCCCTTGTCGGTGCGAGCAGCCAGGGGAGGAGCCATGCGGGGTGGACCCGTGGGTGGTGCTGCCGGATAGGAGCGAGTATGTGGACCAGCAGACGCTCAAACTGCAGGAGAATCCCGAGGTAACTGAGGAGAATCCCGAGGTAACTGAGGAGAATCCCGGGGTAACTCAGGAGAATCCCGAGGTGACTGAGGAGAATCTCGCGCCATGCCTATGCCCCATGCGCGCATGCCCCATGCACCATACCCATGCCCCATGTCCCATGTCCCATTCCTCATCTGGCATGACAGAAGCACCAGGTCAAGCTCATGCCTCATGGCCCATGATGCCCCATGCACCATCTCATGGGTGAGATGCTGCACAGCGTCCTGCTGGCGGTGGACCGCTGGTTGCTGGTGCAGCGCAGCATGTGTGCTCAACATACAACACCGTCAGCCTTGCCTTGCCCCGTGCTCCATACCCCATGCACCATGCACCGTGCCCAATGCCCCCATGCCGCCATGCTGCCCCTCGGGACGTGCCCACGGGACGGTTGAGATGCCGCGCAGTGTGCTACTGGCAGTGGACAGCTCGTTGGTGCAGCTCATGATGTGTGCACTGCATGCCTCGTACCCCATCCACTGTGTGCCCATTTCCACCATGCCCCACGCCCCTCAGGACGTGCCAACGGGGGAGATGCCCCGGAGCGTCCTCCTGGCAGTGGACCGCTCGCTGGTGCAGCGCATCTCCCCCGGCACGCGCATCACTGTGTTTGGCATCTTTAGCATCTTCCAGGCCTCCGATAAAACCAAGTGAGCTGCCTGCCTGCCTGCCTGCCTGCCTGCCTGCCTGCCTGCCTGCCTGCCCGCCCGCCCGCCCGCCCGCCCGCCCGCCCGCCCGCCCGCCCGCCCGCCCGCCCGCCTGCCTGCCTGCCTGCCTGCCTGCCTGCCTGCCTGCCTGGCGCCCAAAAGACTGACTCGTGTGAGTCTGAGTGAGTGAGTGAGTGAGTGAGGTAAGAATTTTCTCATTTCACTCAATTATTTGCCCCTTTAACGGTCTGCACACATTCTCCCCCGGCACGTGCGTCACTGTGTTGGGCATCCTAAGCATCTTATCTTACAGGCTTCCTATAAACACGTGACATGCGTGGAGGCTCAGGGCCTGTATTGTGGCACGTGTCATGTATCTGAGGGGCTGAATTGTGTTGTGTGGGGACAAAACCGAGTGAGATGATTGGTCTCTCATCCCAATCGACTTTTTGCCCCTCAAACAGTTTGCCCGCTTTGGCAGTCTAAGCACCTTGGAGCCTGCGGTTAAAAACAGGTGCGATGCATGCGTGGTGGCTTGGGGGGAGAAGCCCAAGTCCTGGGGTGCCATGGCGGTGGCCATACGGCACCCTGCAGACGGTGGGGGTGGAGATGCCACGGCTGCCCAGCTGACCCGCAATCCCCGCCCTCTCCCCCACCTCTGCTCCCTGTGACCCTGCCTCTCAGGTCGCGAGGGGCCATGGCGGTGGCAATACGGCAGCCATACCTGCGAGTGGTGGGAGTGGAGATGGCTGCGGATGGCGCTGCCAGGTCCACTGCCTCCTCCTTCACCACTGATGAGGTTCGTCGGCGGATTGACTTGCGTTCACTTGCGTTGACTGGCGTTGACTGGCGTTGACTGGCGTTGACTGGCGTTGACTGGCGTTGGCTTGCGTTGGCTTGCATTGGCTTGTGTTGACTTGCGTTGACTCCCTTGACAATTTCTGGCCCACACTGACTTGGATGCTTTCTCCGAGCTTGGGTGTTGATTTGTGGATTTTTCCCGCTCAAGCCCTTCCCTCCTCCCTCTCCCTGCCCCACTCAAGCCCTTCCCCCCTCCTTCTCCCTCCCTGCCCCCCTAACAACACAGGAGGCGGAGTTCAAGGACTTCAGCTGGCAGGGCGACGAGGTGACTTTTTAGTTAACTCAAAATTCACTTCTTAGTCACCCCTCCAGCTCCCTGCACCCTCCCCTCCCCACCCCCGCACACACAGGAGGCGGAGTTCAAGGAGTTCAGCCGGCAGGGCGACGTGTACGGCGCCATAAGCAGCCAGATCGCGCCGTCCATCTTCGGCCACGCCGACATCAAGAAGGCCATCGCCTGCCTGCTCTTTGGCGGCGCGCGCAAGGTGGGCCGTGTGCGAGGGACGGCTGGGGATCGCGAGAGCAGTAAGGTGGGAGAGTGTGAGCCTGGAAGGTGGGGTGCCATGCTTGCCTTGCAACGCTTTACTGTGCGCGTTGACATGCCTGCTCTCTGCACTGTTCCTTGTCCAACACCTGCTGCGGCCTGCCATGACATGCCGTGTTCTGTTTAAATCTAAACAATCGAAGCCGGTAATTTTTTGTGTGTGTGTGTGCGCGTGCGTGCGTGCATGCGTGCGCGCGCGCGCGCGCGCGCGCGTGTGTGTGTGTGTGTGTGTGTGTGTGTGTGTGTGTGTGTGTGTGTGTGTGTGTGTGTGTTTCCAGATTTTTGGTGTTGTCAATTCTTTGTTGTTGGTTCTGTATGTGCCTTTCTCTTCTGTCTGCCCCCTTATTCCGCTGCTCCCTCATCCACCAATCAGCTACTGCCAGATGGCGCAAGGCTGAGAGGCGACATCAACGTGCTGCTGATTGGTGATCCATCCACCGCCAAGTCCCAGGCGAGTCAGCATGAGTCACAGCTGAGTCGGCAAATGTTGGTTCAATACTACTTCTCACCTGCGTCCATTTCCCCGAAGTTATGCACAATCGGCACCCATCCCCGGTTCTTCAAACGACTCAATCTCCATGCGGCCTATTTGCACTTCGACACAATCCCTTCCTCAACCATTCCTCTCCCCCCCTCCCCCATCCCCACGTGTGGCGTGGCAGTTCCTCAAGTTTGTGGAGAAGACGGCACCTATCGCCGTGTACACATCAGGGAAGGGCTCCTCTGCTGCTGGCCTCACCGCCTCCGTCATTCGCGATGCCTCCTCTGTCAGTGCTGCGCCACACCAACCCACTTCTTCTTCCGCCAATTTAATATGGTTTTCTCTTTGCTTGTCTCTATATTTGTGTACATCCTCCTGCTATTGATCTTTGTCCCTGTGTTGACTCCGTTCCCTGTTATTTGTGTATGGCATGTTATGGGGGGCAGAGGGAGTTCTACCTGGAGGGCGGCGCCATGGTGCTGGCAGATGGCGGTGTGGTGTGCATCGATGAGTTCGACAAGATGCGCCCTGAGGACAGGTGTGGGGGGAGAGGGGGGATGGGGCATGTGCTGTTATTAGTAAACAGGTGGGCTGCGGAGGTCTGATGTCCATCAACTGAGTGTTATTGAGACGGGCTGCGCATCGATGAGTTCGATGAGATGCGGCCTGAGGACAGGTGTGGGGGGAGAGGGGGGATGGGGTGGGAGGCATGGATGGGGGAGGATGGGGTGGGAGGACATGAGTCTCACTGTGTGCTTCGCCTCTCCCTCTACCCCATGCTCCCCACAGAGTGGAGAGGCGATGGAGCAGCAGGCGATCAGCATCGCCACGGCAGCCATCACCACTCGCGCACCTCCCGTGTTCCCTGTGACCACCGTGCTTGCCCGTTCCAGCCGCTCGCACCATGGGTGCTGCAGAGTGGCAATCCTCGAGGCAACGAACCTTGCATCTCACATGTGTGGTTTCTCGTCTGCCTGATGCAAGTCATTCGGTGTGTGTTCCTCTAATTGTGCCCCGCAGAGTGGCGATTCACGAGGCAATGGAGCAGCAGACGATAAGCATCGCCAAGGCGGGCATCACCACTGTGCTCAACTCGCGCACCTCCGTGCTCGCCGCTGCCAACCCGCCCTCCGGCCGCTACGATGACCTCCGGGTGAGGCAAGGGCCGAGGGGGTGGTGGGGGGGATGGGGAGGGGGGGGTTGTTGGGGGGCCGCCTTAACAAATGTATCATTGTGTTGCCATGAGCTGCCACATCTTCCCATGTTATTCCCCGGAAATACCAATGCGTTGCGTGCATCACATCCCCGTCTCCCTCTCTCCTCTTACATCCCTCCTCCTCGCACCACCCCGCCCCACAGACGGCGCAGGAGAACATTGATCTGCAGAGCACCATTCTGTCGCGCTTCGACCTCATCTTTGTCGTCAAGGACACAAGGGACTTCAACCGCGATCTCGTGCGCCCTTCCCCCCCTCCCCTCCCCTCCAATCCCCCCCTCCCCTCCCCTCCAATCCCCTCCTCCCCTCCCCTCCAATCCCTCTTTCTTTTCTCCCTCGTTTGCCCTACCTCCATTATTTCACTAGACATTTTTCCAGTGTCTGAAGATTGACAGTGTTTTGCGTCGACTCAAAAGTCATCATGTTTTGCTTGTAAATTCGCTGGCCTCGTCTTTGTTATCAAGAACACTTGTGATTTCAACGTGACCTGCTATCTGCTTCCTCACAACCGCAACTGCTGTGCGGAAACCACCTTTCTATATTGCCCGCTCAATCTATATGTCAAAGACACCCGTGACCCGCTCCACCCTCCTTGCGTTCGCGTTTGCCTTCCGTTGTCAGCCCTAGCTCCTTGCCAACGCCCGAGTTTGTTTCGCCCCTTCTGCCCCTCAAGCGCGGAGTGAACGTGTATGCGAGGAGTCAGCCTGAGCCCCTTATTTACTTGCACCTGTGCCCCTTCCCCCATGGCTCACCCCTTCCCCCATGGCTCACCCCTTCCCCCATGCAGCAAATCGCGCGGCACGTGGTGAACGTGCATGCCAAGGCAGATGCCGTGCTGGGGCAGGCAGACGATGCCATGGGCGGGCGGGCAGCCATGGGGGACGGACCTGCAGGGGCGGGGGGCGTGGGGCACGCGGGGAAGGATGGCGAGCAGGAGAACTGGCTCAAGAGGTAACGAGGAGGGGGGGCTGAAAATTGGTGGGGGAAATGGGCAAAGCATGGAGTAGGGAAATTTCTTCCACGGTTCCACTTACCAGCATTCCCCTTTATATCCCCAAGCGCTTTGAGTCTTTCTCTTGCCTCAAAACCTTTGATTTGAAGGAGCCATCACAGACCTCCCTGCTCCCCTTCCGCTGCTGCCTGTTTCCCTAAACCCCTCCCATCAGGTACATAGAGTTTGCTCGCACGCGCTGCTCCCCGCGGCTTTCAGAGTCAGCAGCAACGCTCCTGCAGAACAACTACGTGCAGATCCGGCAGGTGGGGGTTGATCCGGCAGGTGGGGTGCTTGCTGGTGTGTTGCAGTAAAACATGTCACATTTCAGTGGGGTGGGACATGTCACATTGTTGTTGGACACGTCACATTGTTGTTGGACACGTCACATTGTTGTTGGACACGTCAGATTGTTGTTGGACACGTCAGATTGTTGTTGGACACGTCACATTGCTGTTGGACACGTCACATTGCTGTTGGACACGTCACATTGCTGTTGGACACGTCACATTGCTGTTGGAAACGTCACATTGCTGCTGGACACGTCACATTGCTGTTGGACACGTCACATTGCTGTTGGACATGTCACATTGCTGTTGGACATGTCACATTGCTGTTGGACATGTCACATTGCTGTTGGACATGTCACATTGCTGTTGGACATGTCACATTGCTGTTGGACATGTCACATTGCTGTTGGACATGTCACATTGCTGTTGGACATGTCACATTGCTGTTGGACATGTCACATTGCTGTTGGACATGTCACATTGTACCACAACACAGCACATCACAATGCTCAAGTGCAGATGCGACAGGTGCACTTTCTGTTTCGGTGCAGTGACCCTTGCTACATGGGGGACATGCTGCAACACATCACATCACATCACATCGCACTGTGCCGCACCATTCCGCATCCCACCGCCACCGTTGCTGCGCCACATAACCCAGCATCATCCCCACATCATCCCTTCTCCCCTCAGAACATGCGGCGGAGGGCAACGGAGACGGGGGAGGCGTCAGCGCTGCCAATCACGGTTCGCCAGCTGGAGGCCATCGTGAGGCTCTCAGAGTCCATGGCACGGATGCAGCTGTGAGTGACGTGGCATGCAGCTGTGATTAACGTGGCATGGAGCTATGAGTGACGTGGCATGCAGCTGTGAGTGACGTGGCATGCAGCTGTGAGTAACGTGGCATGCAGCTATGAGTGACGTGGCATGCAGCTATGAGTGACGTGGCATGCAGTTGTGAGTAGCGTGGCATGCAGCTATGAGTGACGTGGCATGCAGCTGTGAGTGACGTGGTATGCAGCAGTGAGTGACGTGGCATGCAACTCTGAGTGACGTGGCATGCTGTTCTGAGGGTAACGTACAACATATTTCGTACCCTCGTGTCCGTCCCTCTTTCACTTCCTCCATACCCCCTCTTCTCCCCCCCGATAGCTCTCCAGTGGCCACGGGGTGGGAGCACGACACCGAGGACTTTTGAGACGTCTCAAAAGCCCACTCCCACGTCCCTTCTCCCTCTCCTCTTCTCCCTGCACCCCATTGCTCCCCCCCCAGCTCCCCAGTGGCCACGGAGGAGCACGTCACCGAGGCGCTGCGCCTCTTCCATGTCGCGACGCTGGACGCCGCCCGGTCGGGCGTGGTGGACGGCGCAGTGCTGACGGAGGAGCAGCGGCGCGAGGTGCAGCAGGTGGAGGGCGCGGTGCGGCGGCGCGTGGCCATCGGGGGCTTCGTGTCGGAGCGGCGCCTGCTGGATGACATCACGCGGTCCGGCATCAGTGAGAGCGCCGTGAGTCCCTTCAGCCATATGAGAGCGCCGTGAGTCCCTTCAGCCATATGAGAGCGCCGTGAGTCCCTTCAGCCATATGAGAGCGCCGTGAGTCCCTTCAGCCATATGAGAGCGCCGTGAGTCCCTTCAGCCATATGAGGAGCCAATCAGGTTTCAGTGAGAGCGCCGTGAGTCCTGGGATGAGAGGAGTCAATCAGGTTTCAGTGAGAGCGCCGTGAGTCCTGGGATGAGAGGAGTCAATCAGGTTTCAGTGAGAGCGTCGTGAGTCCTGGGATGAGAGGAGTCAATCAGGTTTCAGTGAGAGCGCCGTGAGTCCTGGGATGAGAGGAGTCAATCAGGTTTCAGTGAGAGCGCCGTGAGTCCTGGGATGAGAGGAGTCAATCAGGTTTCAGTGAGAGCGCCGTGAGTCCTGGGATGAGAGGAGTCAATCAGGTTTCAGTGAGAGCGCCGTGAGTCCTGGGATGAGAGGAGTCAATCAGGTTTCAGTGAGAGCGTGGTCAGTCTTGGGCTGTGCGATCGCGGTGACTCTAGGGCTGTGAGAGCGCAAGTGCGAGTTCTGGGTGGTGTGTTTGGAAGAGTGAGTGTGAGCATAGCATGCGTGTCGTAGAGACTGCTGCTGGATGAGATGAGTCAATCGGGTTTCAGTGAGAGCGGGTTGAGGCGTGGCGGGGGTCATGGGCGGAGCGCATGAGGGTGAGCCCTGCTTGCCTGCTCGTCTCATTCGCCTGCCAACATGCTCCCCTGCTAGCTGCATCACCAGGCTGCATCACCAGGCTGCATTCTACTGCTTGTGTAATCTCCAGACTGCCGCCTACTTGGTGCCCGTCTGGTGGGTGCTGTGCGCAGCGCTCATCACAATCCTTCATCGTATGCATCACCGACTATGTGTGGCATGTGCCATGTGCGTGCCATGGTTTGTGCCATATGCCATATGCCATATGGCTGTGGTATGTGGCGTGGCATGTGTGATGGCATGCTGTATTCCTCAGGTGCGGCGAGCGCTGCTCATCATGGTGGCACGGGGAGAGGTGGAGTACCGACGGGAGAGGAGGGTCATTTACCGCAAGGTCTGACCACCGCTTCTACTGCTGCTCTGACCACCGCTTCTACTGCTGCTCTGACCACCGCTTCTACTGCTGCTCTGACCACCGCTTCTACTGCTGCTCTGACCACCGCTTCTACTGCTGCTCTGACCACCGCTTCTACTGCTGCTCTCACCGCCGCCCTGACCGCCGGTCTCACTCTTGCTCTCACTGCTGCTCTCACTGCTGCTCTCACCGCCGCTCTCACTGTTGCTCTCACTGCTGCCATTGCAACTCTGACTACAGTACAACCACTGGTCTAGGCTCCAGTCTCTTAATGAGTACAATAATGTACACTTTGCTGCGCTGGTTCAAAAAAAGGACCCCAATGATTTGCAACTGTTGTTGACAAAAACAAGTCAGTGTAGTTTACATGTGTTGTGCTGAGAAAGCCCTAGGATCAGGCCCTCATTGGTTTTGGGGCACGCTGGAAAATCAGTTGTCACGCAATTCTAGGCTGAAAATCAGCCAAAAACAGCCCAAAACCCCAATTTTACACTAGAATATTACTGTAATACTACTGCAGCCACCATCCATCTTGGTCTCAAGATTCAAAACACCCTTTCTAAGCAGGGTGGGATTTCAATAACCCTGCTTCTTGGCAGGGTGGAAAGGCTACCCTGGCAAACTTAGGGCAACCCCGCAGAATTCGGCAAACAGGAAGGGTAGTCAGGGTGTTGTCCCCCCCAAGTATTCCGCACCTCGGCTGATTGATGTTTAACCCGAGGACCCGAACCCCGCACTTAACCTGTGCAACTTGAATACATTAACTTACCGGTACATTTTTTCCTACGGTATGGATCACCTATTTATCGAATATTGCAGGTAAGCAGGGTCTTACACACAAAGCTAGAGACGACTAAGCGTGAACATCAATCTCCACGTTGTCTATGAGACGCACTGATCCGAAATGGGCTGCCACTGCAAGCACAGCGGGGCAAGTGATGTGCGAGACTGGCTCAAGACCCTCCTGCTCCACCAGCTGTCAAACCACAACATGCACACAGACAGCAGATTAGTTACACCAAGAATGCTCACACATGCACAGAATTATTATGATGAGAGTAATGTAGCAACTGTGCAGTGACATGCCGGCATGGTGGAGGGGCCTGGGAAGGGAGCAAGAAGCTGATGCTACCAGACAACACACACACACATCCCCGTCACCATCCCATGCTGCTTCATCGCCATCCCATGCTGCTTCATCTCCATCCCATGCTGCTTCATCTCCATCCCATGCTGCTTCATCTCCATCCCATGCTGCTTCATCTCCATCCCATCCCATGCCTACCTGCACATACTCCACTCGCCCCCCTGCCTCCTCAACCGTTTGCCTCACTCTCTCCACCACCGCGCTTGCATCTGCCGCCTGTGCGTGCCCCTCGCCTCGCTCACTCTCGCCCGCCCCGCTGTGAGCCGCCTCTACTGCTGCCTTGGCCGCCAGCAGCGCGCGGCTGATGGAGAGAGCCTGCCATGGATAGGGCCACACAGACAGGCCGCATGGCAGGGCCACACAGACAGGCCGCATGGCAGGGCCACACAGACAGGCCGCATGGCAGGGCCACACAGACAGGCCGCATGGCAGGGCCACACAGACAGGCCGCATGGCAGGGCCACACAGACAGGCCGCATGGCAGGGCCACACAGACAGGCCGCATGGCAGGGCCACACAGACAGGCCGCATGGCAGGGCCACACAGACAGGCCGCATGGCAGGGCCACACAGACAGGCCGCATGGCAGGGCCACACAGACAGGCCGCATGGCAGGGCCACACAGACAGGCCGCATGGCAGGGCCACACAGACAGGCCGCATGGCAGGGCGGCGGGGATAGGCATGGCAGGGCGGCGGGGATAGGCATGGCAGGGCGGCGGGGATAGGCATGGCAGGGCGGCGGGGATAGGCATGGCAGGGCGGCGGGGATAGGCATGGCAGGGCGGCGGGGATAGGCCGCATGGCAGGGCGGCGGGGATAGGCATGGCAGGGCGGCGGGGATAGGCATGGCAGGGCGGCGGGGATAGGCCGCATGGCAGGGCGGCGGGGATAGGCATGGCAGGGTGGCGGGGATAGGCATGGCAGGGCGGCGGGGATAGGCCGCATGGCAGGGCGGCGGGGATAGGCATGCAGTCGGCCCATCCAGCAGTACAGGGATGGTGGAGGAGGAAGGGGGATGACGAAGGAAGGGGGTAAGAGGGTGTGTCACATGCTTTGATACGGTTCCACAAAGTGGACTGTAGCATTATGTGGACCGAAGCATTATATGCACTGTCGCATTATGTGCACTGTAGCATTTTATGCACTGAAGCATTATAGGCACTGTCTCATCTGCTGCCTGTGCTCTGATCTGATGCGCACGTTGCGGCTGCTCATGGCCTCGAACACCATGTAGGTGCCATGGTTTCAATACGAGGCAGCAAGTGTGTGTGAAACACCTTGATAGCAGCTCATGCCTCACCTGCTGCCTCTGCTCACCTGCTGCCTCTGCTCACCTGTTGCCTCTGCTCACCTGTTGCCTCTGCTCACCTGTTGCCTCTGCTCACCTGTTGCCTCTGCTCACCTGCTGCCTCTGCTCACCTGTTGCCTCTGCTCACCTGCTGCCTCTGCTCACCTGCTGCCTCTGCTCACCTGTTGCCTCTGCTCACCTGTTGCCTCTGCTCACCTGCTGCCTCTGCTCACCTGTTGCCTCTGCTCACCTGCTGCCTCTGCTCACCTGCTGCCTGTGCTGCGGTGTGAGGCGCACGTTGCGGCTGCTCATGGCCAGCCCATCCACCTCACGCAGCACCGGTGCGCCCACCACCTGCACCGCCATGTCCAGATCACGCACCTGCAGGAGTCATGGGGGACCGGCGCAGCACAGCAGTCAGGGCAAGGGGGGTTGGGAAGTGATTTGCGAGTCCAGGGGGGGTAAGAGGGGAATGATGGGGAGGGGTGCGGATGGAATAATGCCATGTCAAGGTCGCGCATGTGGACCATCACAGCACACATGGGGTTGAGAGGGTGGTCAGGAGGGCACATGGGACAGCAGCAGTCATGCATGGGAATGTGGGGACGGATGGGGATGACGATGACGCCAATACACGTGGCAGTATGCACTCCTCTACTTCACCACTTGCACTGTTCCGTGCCATGCCGCCACGCCCCCCTGCTCCGTGCCATGCCGCCATGCCCCCCCTGCTTCCCTCACTCACCATGCGCTGAATGAGGCGCCACTGCTGGTAGTCCTTCTTGCCGAACACGGCCACATCGGGCTCCACAATGTGCAGCAGCTTCACCACCACCGTTGCCACGCCGCGGAAGAACACCGGCCGCCCGCCCCCACACAGCGGCCGCTGCAGCCGCTCCACCGTCACCCACGTCTCGTGCCCTGCTGGCGCCGCTGCGCTCGCTACTGCTGGGCAATCTGCAGCGCCGCCAGGGCCGGGCACTGCTGCTGTAGGTGGCTCCGCGACGGCGTGGCGCTGGTCGGGGGGCGCGTAGAGAGGGCGCAGGTAGAGGTCCGCTGGGGCGAACACCGCTGCCACTGGCAGATCCTGAGGGGTGGGTGGCAGTTGAAAGGGAAGAGTTAGGAGCACGTCAAGGGGGTGAGGAGTGCGGACAGGAGATGAGCTCCACCAGCACAGGAGTGAACAGGAGTGAGGAAAAGATGGTGTTCCCCGGGCTTGTGTCAGGGTCGAGAGCATGGGCAAGGATGGGAACTGGCTGCCTATGGCTCCACCAGCACGCATCCAGTTGCACCGGATGGGGGTGGAGTGGAAGGAAAGAGGAGGGAGCATGGGGTTTGGAGGGCGTAACTTGAGGAACGTAAAATTGCGGGGATGAGCAGGAGATGAGCAGGGAGAGCAGGAGATGAGCTATGCTATTGAACGAACAAGGGAGCATGATAGGATGGGGTTCAGGAGGCGTACCTTGAGGAGGGGCGTACCTTGAGGAGGGGCGTACCTTGAGGATGGGCGTACCTTGAGAAGAGCGAGATCACGGGCGAGGTCGCGTGGGTAAGAAAGGAGGTCTTCGTGTGGGGCGAACTGCGAGGGGTTGACATAGATGGACACAGCCACCACATCTGCGAGCGAGGCCGCCAGGCGCACGAGAGAGAGGTGGCCTTCGTGCAGATACCCCATGGTGGGCACCAGTGCCACTGTGCGCCCCTGGCAGTGCTGCTTGCGCGACCACTGCCGCATGGCTTCCTTCTCACTGATTACCTCCATGGCTGCGTGCGGTGGGCAATGGGAGAGATGTTCAGAGGGCAGTGGGTGCTTCAGATCACAGCATGTAAGAGGTCAGCGGGATGGGAACGAAGGTGGGACCGGGATAACGAGAGTGAGGAGGGAAAGACAGCACAGACGCGAGTGAGGAGGGAAAGACAGCACAGACGCGAGTGAGGAGGGAAAGACAGCACAGACGCGAGTGAGGAGGGAAAGACAGCACAGACGCGAGTATACATGAGCAACGAGGCGAGTTACTCGCACGGACTCGGCCGAGTTACTCGTTTGGGTGGGAGTAACGAGTTTCGTTTTTAGTAAAATTTACTCGGCCGAGTCGAGTCGAGTATTACTCGCCGAGTTTTTTTTGCTCGACGAGTACTCGCTTGCTTTTAGGCGAGCATTTAGGAAACTCGCCGAGCATTTTAAGCTCGACGAGTACGAAAAAACTCGTCTCATTACCCTAACCGATAACATTGCGGTTTGGATGGGTTGAAATTTTCCTCCCGCCAATTTAGCCAACCAGTTTTCAGATCTGATGGGATTCATATGGATCATGCATGCACCTTTCCTTCAGTTCTCCCTCCCGCCATTCCAGACAACAACCTTTCAGATCTGATGGTTTTCATTTGGATCACGCACGTACCGTTCCCTCAGTACTCCCTCCCGTCACTTTGCCTACGCGACCGCTAAGACCAAAGCACGAAACAACGTCGCCTACTATTCAAAGGGACGAGTCGTCCGCATCCGTAGGACATTGACGTAGCGTTGTAGACGCGATCGACCGTCAAACTTACCTAGACATCGCGATACATGTTGTGTCGAAATATTTTGTCATGTTTTATAATTGCTTGTAGTTGTAGTTAGTGTAGTTATGTAAACTTTTGTTGGTGGTGCACCTTATTGTGTTTCTATGCTATATGTACCCCTGAACCTATAGTGAAACCAACCTTTTCACCAATTTCTCTCAACTCACTCGATACATCGCTCCTAGGGAAAATCCCGCTCGATACCTAAGTTCGGGCCTAGGCTACTAAGCCTAGGCCCCACCTTCTAACTAGTTATTCCTATTACTCTCGACATGGTATCAGAGCTTAGTGTTCGTCCTGGCCTGTGGGCCCGCTTTACTTCCGCTGCTAAGATTTTACGGTCGCGCGCCTAGGGCGCGTGACGGTTTTATTTTTACCTTGTCCCGCCCACGGGCGTGTGACTCCTTCCCTGCCCGTCGCGCGCCCTGTGGCACGCGACGGTGCCCTTCTACTGCCCATCGTGCGCCCCGTGGCACACGATGGTGCCCTGCTCGTCGTGTGCCCCGAGGCACACGATCGGGCCCTTTTATTCTACCCGTCGTGCGCCCCGTGGCACTGGCCCGCGACGGGCCTTTCCGCCCCTGCACTCCCTGCTGCCGCCCCTGACCCATCTGCACCGACGCCTCTTCGCCGCTCTGCGGCTTTCTTCCTTCCCACCCCCCAATTTCTCTTGTCTCCCTGCAGCCATGGGGAGGAGGGTATGGGGGTGGAGGGTGTTGGAGCGTGGGGTCAACTCTCTCCCTTTCCCTCCTCCTTCTTTCAGTCCCACCGCTGCAGCTGCCGCTGGGGGGGGAGGGTGTGAGGATGTGGGTGAGGAGGGGGAGTGGTACCGGGGTGGCGGGTGTGAGGCAACAAGCAGCCGTCCCTCCACCTCTCCTCTCTTCCCCCCTTCTCTGCTGCTTCTGCAGCAGTGTGGGGGAGGGGAAGGAGGAGGGTGAGGAGATGGAAGGGGTACCTGCTGTTGCTGTAACTACATACCTACCTACAAGCATTATGGGGGCGTGTCGAAATATTTTGTCATGTTTTATAATTGCTTGTAGTTGTAGTTAGTGTAGTTATGTAAAATTTTGTTGGTGGTGCACCTTATTGTGTTTCTATGCTATATGTACCCCTGAACCTATAGTGAAACCAACCTTTTCACCAATTTCTCTCAACTCACTCGATACATCGCTCCTAGGGAAAATCCCGCTCGATACCTAAGTTCGGGCCTAGGCTACTAAGCCTAGGCCCCACCTTCTAACTAGTTATTCCTATTACTCTCGACATGTTGTACGGTTGACATTTCCTAGGACGTTTAGATTAGAAGGTCGACTTTACCTTGATAGGATGGCGCAAACAAAGCAGGGCGTCTCTAAGATCAACAAAGCGGCGGCTGCAGCAGGTCGCGGTCGCGGTGGTGCTCGTGGTAAAGATATAGCTAATGGTGGCGAGAAGAAGCAGATCGGGATGACATCTTTAGAGCTCCGCCAACTGAAAGTGGCCTCAGCGGAGTTTCATCGTGAGCAACTTCGAGAGGCGGTTGGAGGAGGCAAGAAGGTAGACAAACGTCATGGCGAAGGGAGTTCTGGGGTAAATTGTGGCACTCATCGTGATGATAATGTGGAGGACGGGGTTGATGGAGAGGATCGCGAGCGGGACGATGGCGATGATGACAGTGTAGCCGGAACCGCCGGTCAAACCAGTGCAGATGGCGGCACTGCTGCTCGCGCGGATGGTGACGAGGATAAGGCCGGTGAGGAGATGGTGGCGGCCGACGAAGAGAAGGACGAGGAAGAGGAGGGGGATGCCGAGGAGGAAGAGGAGGGGGATGCCGAGGAGGAAGCTAAGTTGGAAAAAACGCGATTCGCGTTTTGTACGCTTTCGTATAAACGCTAGCGTCTAAACGCAAAACGCTGGCCGGGAGGGGTCTGGTACGCACAAGAATCCGCTTGCCCGGGCAGGAAAAAAAATTCCCCGGGCAGGTTAGATGCTCGACCAAGAGATGGAAACCGGAGCTGCTGTAGTAATCCATTACCTAACTGCTGCTGTAGTAGGTCATCGTCAAAGTGAAGAGGAAGAAATCGAACGCAAAGATTTTTGAAGGGAAAAGCGGCCTGACATTGAGTGAGTCTGGTAGAAGTTGGCAACAAATTGGATGGGGTGAAGGTGGGTTGTGAGCGGTGGATAAGAGGGAATGATCCACCAACAATCTCGAAATTCAGATCTGAAGTTGCTTTAGCAACGCGCGAACTAAGATCTGAATTTCGAGACTCAAATTTGATTTCGCCAGATCGCGAACTCATCTGATTTTTTTTTCCGGTCAGCCCGAGCCAAATTTGGCGAATTTTAGAAAAATCCGCAGCGTACGAATTCTAGATGCGTATAAACTCAATACGCAACTTGAAACTAGCGTTTTTTCCAACTTAGGGAGGAAGAGGAGGGGGATGCCGAGGAGGAAGAGGAGGGGGATGCGGAGGAGGAGGAGGGGGATTCGGAGGAGGGGAGTGGTGACGACTCCGAGGAGGAGGTGTACACCGGTGACGGAGAGGAGGCGGAGGACGACAACGCTGAGGACTACGACGACTTGGAAGAGGAAGGGATGGAGGATACAGAGGGAGATGGGGGGGAGAGAGCTAAAAAGAGGAGGCGGGGTGGAAATGGGAAGGGTAAGAAGGCAGCAGGCGGTCGAGGGTGGGGGGGGGGAAAGGGGGCGGCCGGGGGAAAGGAGGTGGGCGGGGGAGAGGGAGGGGGCGTGGTAGTTCCGGTGTTCGAGGGGGAGGGCAGATTCGGAGGGAAGACACTTCCGAGGATGGTGTTGCCACCCCATCCGTGCACTCTAATGCCACACCACCCAAGCCCAAGGTTCTAACGGGGTACGTCACCTGATGTTTTGAGAAGATTCCTGACCATCCGAAGGAGAAGCGTCGATGTCGCAACGCAAGTGCAATATGGAGATCTCCTTTGCCGGAACCAACTACACGACCGGCAGGACTCACATGCAAGGGCAGCACCTCAACCACTGGATCATATGGTTGCGGAAGTTACATGGTGGGGAGGTGGGCCAAAACGACCACTTCCCTGAGGGGGGGTATGGGGTTGACGACGAGGTTCCGGACGGGGGCGTGAAATGGGTAGGCGCAGACACTTGGCCAGCACCGCCCACTGAGGGGGTGCCAGCGAGGAAGGGGCAGCAGCTGATCACGCAGACCTACCCCAAGTGCTTCGACAAGGACTACCTGCAGCAGGCCATGTGCGAGTGCGTGGTCGCCACCGACCAGGCATTCACTGTGGTGGAGCACCCGACGGTGAGCCCACCAGCATACCATCACCACCCCCTTCTTAACCACAAACCAGCAGTGATTGTCCCGTAGATCGTCATTCAGTGTGCTGCTACTTATGTCTTGTCGCGTAGGTTGTACCTCCTGCTGTGTTTGACCAAACCCGCAGTGAATGAAAGTCATTCTCCGCGGCCTCGTACGTACCCACCCCCCACACCTCTTCTTGATGGCAGTTTCGCAATATGATGGCGGCCGCCAATCCTGAGTGTGCCGTGGAGAGAGTGATTCCCTCGCGCTCCACCCTAGCCCGCCAAATCATCCGCCTGGCAGGGCTGGCAAGGATCACGCTCATGGAGATGCTTGCTGCTGACGGGGTAGGGGCTGTTGCACTTACGCATGACATATGGACCGGTGAGAATCACCGGTCGTACATATCATTGACAGGTCACTGCGTGAATGAGAAGTTTGAGCTCATGCAGATAACCCTCGACTTCCGCGCTATGCCCGGCAAGCAAAATAGCGCGAGGATCATCGAGGTGCTGCTCGATGTGGTGAAGGAGTGGAAATTGGAGAAGCGGCGCATTGCTGTGACATCTGACAACGCGTCGGCCAATGTCGCAGCGATGGAGTTCTTTTGCCGTGGGGGGCCAACTGACCGTCAGCCGCCCTTGTTCTTCTCCGGGATGCACGTCAGGTACCTTAAGTTGGTTTACCTCTCGCACACATGGTGGCTCTGTGCCGTGTTGTGTGTGTGTGCGTGCGGTACTTGTGATCATTCCGATGTGTGCGCCTTCTCTTTCAATCATGCAACCCGAACACCAGGTGCATGGGCCACATTTGCAACCTAGCAATCCAGCTAGGGCTGAAGACAATGCTCGATATCAAGGAGCCGCTAGGGATCATTAGAGACCTAGCGTCCTTCATTGGGTTATCGCCCAAGAGGACAACCCTGTTCGAGAAGATCCAGAAGCGTGCGGATGAGAAGGCGAGGATATTGCGTCTTCGCGGGGACAATGAGGTGCGGTGGGGCTCGACCTACCTCATGCTCGAGCGCGCGATTCGACTTCGAAGTGCCATCGAGACCTTCTACCGCAAAGCTCCAGTAAGCAAGTAGATGGGCTGAGGCATAGCGGCTGGCTGTGGTGTCTTCCCCACTGAGCTTTGGTGTGTGCTGCTGCAGAATGTTTAGCATCAAACCACATCTGCTCCGTCCCCATACCTACAACATCAATGCTGTCTTTTCCGTCCACTAACATTCTGCCCCAACAGGCAATTCTCACCGCCAAGGATGCCAAGCGCCTCCAGGCCCTCACCCTCTCCTCGGAACAGTGGTTGGCTTTGGAAGAGCTTGCGGCCTTCCTTAAGCCATTCCATGCCGTGAGCCTCGCCGCTGAGGGGTCCAAGTACCCCACGATCTCCAGGGTTGTCCCGCAGTTCAATGAACTGTTGGACGGCCTAGACACCCTCAAAAACAGTGTGTCCTCTCCCCCATCAGGGGTCATGAAGGATTGCATCACTAAGGCAGAGGAGAAGCTGATGGAGTACTACTCGGACAGCAGTGATGAGCTTTGGGTTGCCACCATCCTTGACCCAAGCTTCAAGATCGGGTACTTCGAGATGGATGGTGAGGGGGGAGACAAGGAGAGTGAGAGGCCGAGGGGGGTACATCATGTTGCGGTGGAAAGGGTGCTCGCCTTGGTATGGGCGAAGTTGGTACCGTACAAGGCAAAGGCGGTGGCGGCCAGGGAGAAACGGGAGAGGGCAGAGGGGGCTGGTCGTGGTGCACGCGGAAGGGGAGGGGGGAATTCATCAGGAGGGAGCTCCTCTGGCCGTGGGGGTGGAGCTGGCAGAAAGGGGGGTGCTGCAGGCGGCCGCCCAGCCATCGATTCATTCGGTGGTGTAGACGGGGATAGACGGAGCTTGAGGGCAAGATTAGAGGAGTACCGTAGCCGCCAGGAGGAGTCCGTCAGGGACGAGGTGCAGATTTACATTGACGAGCGATTGGAGCCTTTGGGTACCTGTCCCCTTTCGTATTGGCGCCGCAGGAATGACCTTGAGGGGCTGCAGGCTATGGCCCTCGACTACCTCGCCATACCAGCGACGTCGGCTGCGAGTGAGCGCAACTTTTCGCGTGGCCACAATCTGATCACGTGGCAGAGGCATAGCCTGGGACCCGAGCGCATCCGAGCGTGTATGATTCTCAAGTCCTGGGTGGACTTGAACACAGGGTGCAAGTTGGGGAAGGCGGCGGCGAAACTGCTAGAGTTGGCGGAGGCGGATGCCGTAGGGGTGGAGATGGATGAAGAACAGCCGAAGTGATGGTGTGGGGTGGACTGGTTTGTTGTAAGGGATGGGGGGGGATGACATGGGCTGGTGTGTGTGGGAGGAAACCTAGCAGGGCACTATTTATTGCTTGAGATCACTTGATGCTTACGCTTATGAGAACTTAGGCTTAGAAGCGATGCATTAGTAATGAGCTTGAAGCTCTTTAAGTACATTCAAGCAGGGTAAGGAATAGTTGGGGGAGGGAATCAGAGGCCATCCCTAGGGATTGGGGGTAATCCCAAGGCAATCTCCAATTGGTGGGTTGGAGATCGCTTGGAGATTACATTTGGGTTTGGTTGGGATGTAGGTGTACACCAAACCAAACACAATGTGCAAACTACACTACTCTAGGATATAGAAAATACTAAGTACAAAGCGTGAGATTGAAGGCTAACACTAACACCCTCCCATAGGCGTCAATCGAACTCAGGGTAGAGAGGGTGGAGCACAGAGCCCCATGGCGCCAAGGAGACGGTGGTGGGGAACTTTCCCAAGGGGCTTGGTGAACAGATCAGCCAGGTTACAGTCAGATGCAACGTATTCCAATTTCAACTGCTCCTGTTGGACAAGGTCACGGATGAAGAAGTGCCGGAGTTCAATATGCTTGGTGCGGGTGTGATACACAGGGTCTTGAGAGATGTGGATGGTACTCTGGTTGTCACACCAGAGGGTGGGGGCGGACTGTGGGAAACCAAGCTCCTGGAGTAGGAAGGTGAGCCAACGGGTTTCCTGAGCAGCCATGGTGCCTGCATAGAGCTCTGCCCCACATGAGGAGAGGGAGACTGCAGACGATCTAGTGGAGCGCCAACTGACAATTCCGCTCCCAAGGGTGAAGCAGTACCCCTGAGAGGAGCGTCGGTCGGTCTGGTCATCAGCCCAGGAGGAGTCGGTGTAACCTTCCAGGCGAGGAGGGGAGAGCCCACCGAGTGTGAGAACGTGAGACTTGGTGCCTTGAAGATAGCGCAGCACCCACTTCGCCGCCTTCCAGTGAAGATCAGTGAAGCGTCCAGGGGCCACGTAGCGAGAGAGGACACTGACAGGATAGGCCAAGTCTGGCCGGGTGCACATCATGGCGTATATGAGGGACCCAACAAGCTCCGGGTATGGCTCAGAGCAAGCCTCTGGTGTGGGTACAGCTGGAGCTGTGAGGAGGTGTTGCAGCGGCAGCGGGGTGGCAACAGGAGTGCACAGCTCCATCTCAAACCGCTTGAGCACATTGTCGATGTAGAACTCCTGGGAGAGTGAAATGGTGCGAGCCTGGCGATCACGAGTGATCTCCATCCCCAGGTAATGCTTGAGGTCGCCGAGGTCTTTCATCTGGAGGGCCTTGCTCTGGGCTGCCTGGATAGAGGTCATTTGGGCCGAGTCCTTGGCAACGAGGATGAAGTCATCCACGTAGATCAGGTTGTAGAATGGCTCAGAATGACGGCGGATGAAGAGAGTTGGGTCAGCAGTTGAAGGGTAGAAGTCCAGGGAGAGGAGGACTTCTTTCACCTTGTTGTGCCATTCGCGAGGGGTTTGCTTAAGGCCGTAGACGGGGCGATTCAGCTTCCAGACAGTGTTGGGAGGGAATTCTCCTGGGAAGCCTTCAGGTCTGTCCATGAACACTGTCTCCTTGAGACGTCCTTGTAGAAAGGCGGATGAGGCATCCATGGATTTGATCTCAAAGTTTTCTCGAGCTGCGACATCCATGAGCGTACGAATGGTGGGAGGTTTGGATGTGGGGGAGAAGGTTAGGAAGAAGTCGCGGTACTGCTGCTGGGTGAAGCCCTTGGCTACGTAACGCGCTTTGAACACCGGGGCCTCGTCTGGGAGCTGTTTTACACGGAACAACCACTTGCCCCCGACGATGTTGACTCCAGGAGGTGGAGTCTCGTCGTCGAAGGAGTGGTTGCGGGTGAATGCTTCAATCTCCGCTTCCATGGCAGCACGCCATTCGGCAGCATGAGGGCCTGAGAGAGCCTCTTGGACAGTGAGAGGGATAGGGATGGTCGGGTTCTCCACGAAGCTGAGGGAGGGTGAGTCAGTGATGTCGGGGAAGATGTGCGAGAGCTAAGGAATGACTGCATGAAGATCACACAACTCATGCCTGTCTTCCAGAAGGGTAGAGGGCACATTCCCCCCAGCAGGAGGAGGCGGTGTGATCGCTGTGTATCGAAGGAGCAGCGCTAGTGGAAGAGCTGCGCCATGCGAACGAGTGCCATGAGCCACCGGAGAGGAGGGTGGGGCAGGTGGTGTTGGAGGGGTTGACTTAGGAAGCTTGGGCGCGGGAATGGGCCGCCGGTGTACGTGATCAGCTCGGGCGACTGTGGGAGAGCGGGTTCCTCTATGGTAGGGGGAACTGGGGGAGGATGTGAGGGCGGAGGGTGGGACCGCCGATAGTAGGTGATAGGTGCGTTCGGAGGTGGCTGGACAGTCGGCGGAGTGGGAAGTGAGGGGGATGGAGGGGCAGCCGCCGAAGACACCGGCGAGGGCAGGTCAGAGATCTCTGAGGGGGAAGGTGCGATGGCAGGAGAAGGAGGAGGTGAGGGGGCCGGCGCAGGTGGGAGGTCAGGAGGCGCATCAAAGTCTGCCCACACGAGGGAGGGTGGATCAGAGAGAGGGTCCCGTCCCGAAGTGGAGTAGAATGGGCGGGTCTCATCAAAGACAACGTCACGGCTCCGGACCAACTGTTGAGTGGAGGGGTTGAAGAAGAGGTAGTCAGACGAGTCGGCGTTGTGCCCAAGGTAGATGCACGTCTGGGTCTTGGGACCGAGCTTGCCGCCGTGCTGCCGTCGAGCCTGAGGGTTGAGGAGGACATAGGCGGTGCAACCCCAAACGCGAAGAGAGCGAGCAGTGGGCGTTTTCCCGAGCCAGAGTGTGGTAGGAGTGGTGTCGGGAAGATGCGGGTGGGGGTAAAGGTTGTAGAGGAGGGCGGCGTGGTAGAGAGCGTACCCCCAGAGAGAGTGTGGAGCGTTGGAGTGGCCGAGGAGGCACCGAGTGATCTGCACCAGGGTGTGGTTGCGGCTCTCAGCTATGCCGTTCAGCTGCGAGCTGTCAGGGAGGGTGAAGTTTTGCTGGATGCCTTCTGAGGAGCAGAAGGCTTTGAGCTTGTCGTTGCAAAGCTCACCACCACCATCCGAGTGGAGGCGCTTGACTTTCCGGTCAAAGGTGGTCTGTGCCTGTTTAACCCACGCCATGAGGACCTCTGGAACCGCAGCCTTAGTGTGGAGGAGGTGAACAGAGACGTAGCGAGAGTGGTCATCAACGGTAACCAGGAAGTAGTGATAACCACCTCGTGCGGGAACAGGGGCAGGGCCCCAGACGTCCAGGTGTACCAAGTCCAGTGGTGCTGCTCCGACAGAGGGTGAGGCCGGGTGGGGCTGTTGACGCAGTTTGCTCTTGGTGCAGTCAAGGCACGTGGGAGCGGGGGAGTCTGGTGGTGGAGGAAGTGAGGCTGGCAGGCCGTGTAGAAGTTTCTTGGAGGCCATGTCGGCAAGTGTGCGGAAGTTTGGGTGCCCGAGCCGATGGTGGTAGAGTATGGTTGGGTTGGAGAAACTGCGGCACGAGCATGGTGAGGTAGTTGCCGCTGCTTGGATGGTTGACACCTGTGGGATGGGTACTTGTAGTGTGTAAAGGCCGCTGCTGCTGAGGGTGAAACGAGTCAAGACCTTGTTGGTGAGTGGGTCGAGGATATCACCATAGTTCTCATTCTCCCAGAAGATGGTGCGTAGCCCAGCTTCCTGAATCTCCGTTTGAGCCACAAGATTGTGGCGGAGTGAAGGCACGCACATTCCAGTGACAGTGCCAGAAGGGAAGGCGGGGCACGGGACTGTGGACGAACCCTTGGCAAGAGTGGTGAAGGTTGAGTCAGCTCCTAGGAGAGGGATGGGTGTTGCGTAGGGTTTGAAGGAGAGTGTCTCCTTGAGCACAGTGTGAGTGGCGCCGCTGTCGAGTGTGAACTCTATGTATTGTGGTGCTTGTGATGAGCCGAGGTACTGGGAGGAAGCTTCATTAATCATGGCAGTGCTAGGGAACAACAGGTTGATACGCACATCAGCAGGAGCACTATCACTAGCATTAGCCGAAACGGGGTCCTGGACCTCGACCAGGTTGGCCTTACGCGCACGCATCCAGTTCGGTGGCTTCTTGTCTATGCCGTGGATGGCGTACCATTCGTTGTCCTTCTTCTTGAAGCACGTAGCAAGGGGGTGGTTAGAGCCACCACACACTTGTCCCTTGCAGTTGCCATACTTGACGACGTAGGTGCACGGTGGGAAGCGTTTGCGCTGGAGGGGCGCTGAGGCAAGGGCCGCTGCGACACTTGCTTGAGGCATGGGAGCACGGATGGCGTAGGCCTTGGCTTGAGCCGTGGAGTCTTTCTCGGCAGAGAGGAGTGCGGTGGAGACCTTGGCAAAAGTGAGGTCTTCCGCAGTCAGCGTGAGGAGCATCTTCCTTGTGATTTCGTAGGCTGTGGTGAGACCAACAAGAAGAGCTGCTGCAGGGGCCTGTTCGGGGAAGACTATGCCTAGCTCCTTGAGTTCGCCATGAATGGTCTGAACCTTGGCAATGTAGTCGGCCATTCCCGAGCAATCCTCAAGGCGGATCTGGAACATGCTGGGGATGAGGATGGCAACTCCAACTGCAGTCTTGTTCATGAACCGATCCTGGAGATACTTCCAGATGGCGTTGGAGGTAGGGTAGTTATGGAACGTGTTGACAAGTTCTGGAGGGGTGGAGGCGATGAAGACGCTGATAATTGCAGCATCGGCCTTCTCCCACTTCCGGTACTTCTCAACGGCTTCCTCATATGCCCTTGTGTCAGCCTCACTAGCGGATTCGGACGGCTCACGAGGGAGAAGGGGCTGTTTTCCCTTGCCACGGTTGAGGAGTACATCCTTGAGGTCCAATCCCTGCACGTCACGGCTCAACAGATGCTTGTCAACCCCATAGCTCCATGCCTTGAAGTTGGAGCTAGATCCATCGGCTTCAAGACGGAGTGGGGTGATGGGGTTGGCCATGGTGGACGTGGTGAAGGCCATGCTGAAGATCCCTTGGTGTCTCGCGCGAAGCGCCGCTCTTAAGTCACCGATAGGAACCTATGTTGCACTATACGTTTTTGAAATTGTACATTTCACGTATTTGCGTGCACGTATAAACGCGAAAACGTGAAGCGGGGACAAATACGCGATACGGAACTCCGGGCAGGCCAAAAAAAAAAAAAAAAAAAAAACATAAGTTCGCGCTTTTTCCGTACGCACGTATACCAACATTTCAGGACGCGTTTTTCCAACCAGGGGACGTGCAAAACCGAATCGCCACGTTCACCCCACGAACATCAACATTGCGCCCAATCACCCCCAACACCTCGTGACCAACCACGGCACGTCCCCCACCCCACAACCAATGCGTGGTAAGTATAATTGACCCCACCTCAACACATGTCTCATCCATTTGTCATTACTGTTCAGTGTTGAGCTATGTCTACTCCAGTCCCTTCTGACCCTAGTCAGCCTTCTGTTCCGTCCACTCAGTCTACTGATCCTTCAGCCTCGACCTCGGAGGCGCAATGACTGGAGGAGGATAGTACTCATGTCGTTTTCAAGCATTTCAAGGTTCCCATCCGTCCCGACACAATCGGGACTGTCCGCGTTTGCAAGTATTGCGCCATCGAGTTCAAGGGTGGTGCGTTTCAATGCGCTCAGCATCTCGCGAAATGGAAGGGACAGCGCTCTCGCGACGTCCGCCTGTGCGCTAAGGTTCCGCCTGACGTGCGAGCGGCGGTGCGCGCGCATTACGAGAAGAAGGCGTCCAACCGCGACGAAAAACGGTGGGCCGAGGATGCTGCGCTCAATGCTGTCGCGGGAGGTGCGAAGAGAGGACGCATCACCGACTTCATTGGCGATGGCGCGCAATGAAAGACGGGCAAGGCGGACTACGCCGTGCGAGGCGGACTACGCCGTCTGTTTGTTCTTCGCCGGCTGTCGGATTCCCGAACACCACGCCGACAACCCGTTGTGGCGCAACATGGTCAGCGCCTTTAACAACGCACCCCACGGTTACGTCGCGCCGCGACGGAAGTACGTGGGAGGAGCTGGGCTGAAGCAATGCCGCACGAGCATCGAAAAGGGGCTTCAGCCAATCGCCGCGAGGGATGGCGTCACCGTCTCCTCCGACTTGATGACTGATCGGTGCGGGAGGCCGCAGGCGAACGTCATGCTGGTCAACGATTCGGGAGCGGTGTTCGTTGAGGCTATCGACTGCAACATGGAGTCAAAAACCGGCGGCTACATCGCGTCTCTCCTCCGCCCCATCATCGAGAAAGTGGGGCCCGAAAACGTAGTCGCTCTTTGCATGGACGGAGGCTCCAACTATGGGGCCGCCAACAAGGAGCTGATGGCGGATTGGCCCCATATTGAGTACGTGCCGTGCGCTACGCACGTGCTCGACCTCCTGATGGAGGACGTGGGCAAGATCACGTGGTGCAAAGACATTGTGGATTTGTGCGGAGACATGATCACATACGTCCGCAACCACCATTTCACCCGCAACTACCTGAGGAGTAAGAAGGTGAAGAAAGGAAAGGGGAAGCAACTTGTGAAGCCGGTGGGGACCAGGTTCGGCACCAACTACATCGCCCTCTCCAGGCTCGTCGAGCTGCGGTCCACGCTGTCGCAGATGGTGCTGAACGAGGAGTTCGCCAACTGGTCGGCGGGGGCTAGGAAGCAGACGGCGGATACGTTCCGCGGCCAAATCATGGACGATGCATGGTGGAAGAACGCTACCTACCTGGCGGAGCTCTTGGCGATTCCATTCAAGGTGATGCGGGCCACGGACAGCAGCGCCAAAGGGATGATGGGGACTATCTACGACCTAATGCTCCAGCTGACCGAGGACGTGAACGACAAGCTGGAAGCGGGGGAGAAGATTCTGCCGCGGCAGTTGCGACTGACATTGGGAAGATTGTAAGGCGTCGTTGGGACGAGAGCCTTGCATGCGCTCTTCACGTCGTGGGGCGGATCCTCAACCCGGCAAACCAGGAAGAGAGTATTTTCCGCAATGACATGGAATGTACGCGCATCTTCAAGGCCTTCATCGCACGCCACTACGACGGTAAGACGTTCACCAACAAGGACGGTGAGGAGAGGCGTGCCTCACTTGTTTTGCATGAGGGGCTCACGGCCTTCCTCACCCTTGAAGGTTACTTCGGCCTTCCTGAGGCAATTGCCGACAGGGAGGCCGTGAAGGCAGGCAAGCAGTCGATGGTGGCGTGGTGGGGTTGGCACGGGACTGACCACCCCCACCTGGCCAGCCTTGCGTGCCGTGCCCTGACACAGCCGGTGTCGGCGTCGCCGTGTGGGCATCGTTCGAATCGGTGCACACTGCCCGCCGCAACAGGCTAGGCTCGGAGAAGCTCCGAGACCTCGTCTTTGTGACCCACAACTGGCGTGTGGTCCACAAGTACCACAAGATGGGTGAGTCACTGTCGGTGCTTCCGGGCAACATACCTGAACCCGCTCTGCCGGAGGGATACAACAAGGAGGAGGAAGGGGAGGAGGAGGAGGAGGAGGGGGATGAAGGCGTGCTGGCCGATGAGTACGTGGAGTAAGAATGTGAGTAGGGGAGTAGGGGAGGTAGGGGATGTATCGTCAAGTAGTTGCTAGTATGTGTGTACTTGCAATGCATGTTTGTAATGGGGAAAAAAAAGTTTCATATGTGGGGGAAAACCAAACTGCACAAGGTCACGATGAACATAGGCAACGTGACTCCCCACCCCATACTTTTTTACCCTGCCCGGGAACTTTTTTCCCCTGCCCGGACGACCGTATTTCGAGCGTATCCTGGGCCTGAATTCGCCCGTCTCACGTACGTACGTGAGCGGATAGTACGTACGCGACTGGTACGTGAGTCGCGTACTTTCCAACATAGATAGGAACTTCGGGGGATCACGAACGAGCGGCGCGCAGCGCGGCGATTTCAAAATCCGACGGACCCCAACTAGTGAAAATCGTCAATGTCGATTGCGTCGGGATGCCTCGTAGAAGGATTTTCGGGGCCGCCAAAACTAGGTAAAATCGGCCGACTTCCGTAGATCTAACCCTAATCCCACACGCCCCCCCACACACCACCCTCAGCTTCGCGGCTACGCTGCTGCACGGCTTCGCGGTTACTCTGCTGCTCGGCTGCGCTGCTGCACTGCTGCTCGGCTGCGCTACTGCACTGCTGCTCGGCTGCGCTGCTGCACCTGTTCAGCTGCGGGAAAAGGGGAATGGGGGTAGAAGTGCAGATGCGGGGCGACGGGCAGCGGCCCGACGAGAAGTTGCGGGGCGACGGGCGGCGGCCCGACGAGAAGTTGCGGGGCGACGGGCGGCGGCCCGACGAGAAGCTGCGGGGCGACGGGCGGCGGCCCGACGAGAAGCTGCGGGGCGACGGGCGGCGGCCCGACGAGGAGTTGCGGGGCGACGGGCGGCGGCCCGACGAGAAGCTGCGGGGCGACGGGCGACGGCCCGACGAGAAGAGGTGACGCGGTGACGAAATTGAGGGATGGCGAAGAAGGAACGATAAGTTAAAGCGACGCCGATGAGCGTACCATAGAAATTGAAGACGTCGTCGAAGTTGACGGGAAAGTGGTGCGGGGGAATTTCCGCCCACGAATGTTGCGAATCGACGGCGACGAGATTGAAGGAGGCTATGCCGAGGTTTGCGGGAAGAACATCCGCATAGATAGGAGGATCACGATCCGCATGTGCAGATGTAGCGCTCTGATACCATATGAGAACTTAGGCTTAGAAGCGATGCATTAGTAATGAGCTTGAAGCTCTTTAAGTACATTCAGAGGTAAGGAATAGTTGGGGGAGGGAATCAGAGGCAATCCCTAGGGATTGGGGGTAATCCCAAGGCAATCTCCAATTGGTGGGTTGGAGATTGCTTGGAGATTACATTTGGGTTTGGTTGGGATGTAGGTGTACACCAAACCAAACACAATGTGCAAACTACACTACTCTAGGATATAGAAAATACAAAGTACAAAGCGTGAGATTGAAGGCTAACACTAACAACGCTCACCAGGGCGCAAGACCTGGCCTACGTTAAATTATTATGTGTGTAGTTAGAGTAGTTGGTCACTCACATGAATCCTTAGGTTGTGAAAACACCCATGCATTCCCCTCGTGGCCTGCTTGCGAGGTCTATCCAGGTCTAAGCAGGCTTCCATGGGCTTACCTAGGCAGCCCAAGGGTACCCAGGAGCAACCCAGGCCAGGGCTTTCCTGGGCTTCCCTAGGCCACCATGGACCACCTTGGGTTTACCTGGGCGGCCTTGGAAACCCAAATACTACGCGGTACCATGGACTTCACTAGGCGTTATGTACAAAGTCGTTCCATGCCCCTGTAGAGGGCATGGCCGAGCATTACTCGTACTCGGACGAGTTTTTCAAATTGCTCGCCCGAGTTTCCCTAAAGAAGGCGAGTAACGAGTATCTGTTTGGGGGAAAATTGCTCGGTCGAGTATTACTCGACTCGGGCTCGTACTCGACCGAGCATGGCTAGGGACGAGTCAAGCATTACTCGTGCTCGCCTCGTTGCACAGGTATAGACGCGAGTAGACATGAGCACAAGGGCGAACACCTGTTCGGTTCGCCTCGAACACGTTCGAGGCGAACCGAACAGGTTTGTTCTTTTTGCTTAAATTGTTCGCCGAACAGTGTTCGATGTTCGCCCGAACACGTTCGTGTTCGGGCCGCTGCTGCAATTTGCCCCGCGACGAACACGAACGTGTTCGAGGTTCGCCCGAACACGCCTTCACAGGCGAACGGCGAACACGAGTTTTTGCTTAAAGTGTTCGCCGAACCGAGCAGTGTTCGGTTCGGCAAACGGATGTGTTTGTCTAGGGGCGAACACGAACATGTTCGTGTTCGCCCCTTGCTCATCCCTAGACGCGAGTGAGGAGAGAAATACAGCACAGACGCGAGTGAGGAGGGACCAATGCACTTGTCACAAGGACCTACAATTCCCACACTAAACAGTTATGTTTCTTTTTCATGTCGCCTGGAAGGAATATACTCTTAAGTCAATTTGATAGCTCACTCGTTCCTTTGCTCACTCGTTCCTTTGCTCACTCGTTCCTTCGCTCTCACTGGTTAACTAATCTGGGGTTGGTGAAGCAAGGGTCGGTTACAGAACCTACAAAATTGATTTAAAGTACGACTTTGGGAGCAGCGGAAGAAAGGGGGCCAAAGGGGTGGGGGTGAGAGTGTGGGGGGAATAGAATGGCAACATTGGGCAGCAAAGTTAGCAGAATGAGAGCGATACGGGGAACTGAGACAAGGGTCAGTCGCTTTTGCTAAGATTGTACCTATGCGCATTGGGACAGGGTAGGAGGGGTTGAAGAAAGTAGAGTATGTAAGGGAGAAAGTGGTGAGGGGAGCACCAATCGTAACAGGCTGCATCACGCATATTCGAAATCTGCTTGCAGTTACGCGTGAACCAGCAAGTTCCCCCATGGCATCTCACACACGAAAAAATACAACCGTCTCTGAATGTGCAAGAGAGAACAAATTTTTGTTGGAAATTTCAGCAAGTTACAGTACAAGCCTGGGCACACACAAAACTTCAACCTTTAAGCAAACGGAAACACATCTAAAAGCCAAGCTGGCTGGGATAACGAGGCACATGGGCTGATTGAGGCAATGTGAATGAGGTAGGGCGAATGAGGTAGGCTGAATGAGGCATGTAGCATGAGGTTTGTCGATTCAGGGTTTATGGAAGGCCGAATGAGATAGGGGGGATGAGGGAACTTGAATGAGGTAGTGTTAATGAGGCCAGAAGAAAGAATGACTTTGGGTGAATGTGGAGAATGCCTTGAGAATTCTCACAAGCAACTCCAGCACAGCTGCGCTGCAGCACGCAGCGCGCTCGGCGACGCACTCGCCGTGGGTGCGGTGCAGCCCTCAGCGGGCTCCACGACAGTTGATTGAATGAACCTATGCCGCTGCGTGTAAGGGGCTGCATTCAGCTGGAGATGTGACCTACCTAATGGTGGTGTGACGTGCACGTGTCGCACTTGGCCACTCACAATTCCCTTCCCGTGCCTTCACACCCCCCCTTTCCCCCCTTGCCTGCAGGGCAAGGGCAAGGACAAGGAGGAAAGAGAACGCAAGGGACGGAAACGGAGGGCAAAGGAAGGGAAGGGAACGGGGGTGTGTGTGAAGGAAAGGGATGGGAATGGAAGAAAAGCGCTGAGAATGGAGGTGAAGGGAACGATGGCCCACTGGAAGGAGAAGAAGGAGAGGGACGGACCAGGGGTGAGGAGGAAACGTGAAGATAGATAGGGCGAGGGGCGGAGAATACGTGGGAAGGAGTTCTGCTTGATTTGGCTCAAAGGCTTTGGATAGATTGAACGAAAAGGAAACGAGAGGGAATGGAAGGGATGGGAAGGCAAGGATTGGGCAGCTGAGAGAAGGGCAGGGGGCGTAGAGAAGGTGCGCAAACGGAAAGACATATTAGGAGAATTTTGCAGTTGAGGGGATCGACCAAGGTGTAGGGTAGGGAACGGAAAGAAAGGGAGGGGAAGCATATGTAAGGGAATGGAAGGGAAGGGAAGGGAATGGTAGGGAGGGGAGAAGGCGCGACGAAAGCAGGCGGGCCGAGGGGAGGCGCGACGAGAGGAGGCGCTACAAGAGGAGCCGCGAAGAGGGGGGGGCTCCGCGCGATGAGGGGAGCACGACCAGGGGAAAGGAGGCGCGGAAAGGTGTAAAGGGTGGAGGCGCAATAAGGGGAGGGGAAGCGCGATGAGGGGAGGGGTAGGCGCGACTAACCAGGGAGGCACGACGAAAGCACGGAGGCGAAATGAGGGTGGTGGAGGCGCGACGAAACGAGGGGAGGCGTGACGAGGCCGGGGGCGACGAGGGGAGGCGCGACTACGGGCAGGGGAGGAGCCAAGAGGAGAGAGGTGCCTTGGCGACTTGAGGCCCCGAGACGTGGGAGAGCAAGCGAGGAGGCGGCAGGCGCCCTAAACCACACTCACGAGGTTGTCCTTGGGCGTATTTCTTGCTCATTAGAGTTTGTAGTAGCGAATGTGCTCAGGATGTCCTAAACCCTGCGAATCACGCCAATCCCTGGCTCTTAGTGGTGACGCCCGAATTTAGTCTAGTATGTACAGGACGTGCTGCATTCGGGTCGAACTTCGCCAAAATTTCTACACGGTATACGGGATTTTAAATCTGAACAACGTCACCGTACGGTGCATGTTAAAGCTCACGTCTCATATTTCTGCTATCCAACCAAGTGTTAAACGGTTGGAATTTGGTAACAGCAAAGTTTGTCGCAAAGCACACCAAAGCAAGGGGTGGTTTGGGAAAGTTGGCTGTCGCACACTTCCCGTGCACACCAAGCGTTTACAACTTCCGAAAAATTATAATTTTAAACACACGAAGTGTTTTTCAAAATTACGTATTTCGAAAGCGCAGCTGCTTGTAACGCATGTTTTGGCATCGTCGAAGCGCGCTAAACGCCCTTCTCCAACTACAAATCGTGGGTTGGAGCTCATTTCCCTCCACCCACGTCTCTCGTTTTCCAACGGCTCATGCAACTCTCCCACCCCCCGCCCCAACACTGACGGGCATCATCGACGCTGCTTGAACGAGAAGATCGATAGCTTGTAGCATGATAGACATCAAGTAGCATGATGAATCGCTAGTACAATGATTGATACGCATATAGTAACATGTACTAGCACTTCTGTTTCCTAGCTCGAGGTGCATGTTGTAATTTGCCAGTTGAAATGAGAACGATGCCAAATCATAAGTAAGAGAAAGCAAGCTTTCTAAATTATGAGACTCTGAAACTCAACGTTGACAGAAGGGGGGACCGAACCTGTCCCCCTTGGCTCATTTTCCACCCAAACCAACCCACCCTGGTTTGTTTTGGCCTCGACTGTTTTGGTAGTTCGCTGTGATTTTTTCACCCGCTCGTCAAATATTTCGTTTTCGTTGCCCAATCACAGTCAAGCAAACCCAACAAAGCGTTAAACGATTGGAAATATGAGACGCGAGCTTTAAGAAATTTTTCTCGACATTCCTTAGCGCGCCATCGCGTACAGCAGCAGCCATTATTCTCCCGTTAGTGCTAACGGGGCTTCGCCGACTTCGCGCGCACTGTTTCACCAAACCTTGCACTGCTGGCCCGGCCGTGTCGGCCTACGCTTCGGGACTAGCCCGAGCCTCGCTGCCAGCGTAGCACTAGCTAGCTCGCACGCACCGCGTTACCGTTTGCATGTTTCGCGTATAAATGTTCGCTCATGCCTTCGCTCACATTTTGTACTCATTTGACACCTTAGTGCAATCCTCGTTACCTCGATTCATTGCACCCGTAACACTTGGTTATCAGAGCCTCTTTCTTTTCGGACCCCGCAACTCCGCGCCCCAGGAAATCAACTTTTGATTTCTTCACTCGAAGGGACTCACGCACCTTAGCCCCTAGGAGCCGTTGTCCTCGCGTTCTCTCGTAAACGCATGCAGCCACGACT